AGCCTACACCCTCGCCGGCCCAGCTCCAGGTTGAGCTGTTGTTCAGCATCTTAGCTGTGGAGGGCAGTGTCACTTGCCCTCATATGTGGGATCCGAACCGGGGCCCTCTGGAGTCCCAAGCCAGTTCTTAACCAACGCGCCACTCGGCCGGCCCAGCTTTATACTTTTTGACACATTTTTAAATTTGCCTCCAATGAGCAAATTAATACTTTTGGAATAAAAAATGAAGTGTATATATAAAAGTAAAACGAGAGCAGCAAAATGGAGTAAGTGTTCCAGAGAATATCAGCTCCAAGTGCAATCAAGGAGAATAAAAACAAACTTAAATCCCGGGCAATTAATAGCAGGGGTTCACTTCCTTTTTAGTACAGAGTATTTACTGCTCCTGGCAGCCTTCCCGAATCAAACATTAATAAGGACCCTGAATTTATCAACATGTCTTGCAATTATCAGCACATGCCCTTGTTTTTAAATGCTTCAGCAGCAAGCATTGCTCCTGCAAAGCCTACCTTTACTAAAACCCATCAAATCTATTCGAAATTGAACAGATTATCAGGTAAACTACTGGAAGAGGAATCTTTTACTGCTATCTCAGGGTTCAGCAAAACGTTACCAAAAATATTTTGTTGGCTCATTTACAAAGGTACATGGATGAATTTCTGCAGTCACATACGCTTTAGGGTTACATGCATCAGTTTTTACTATCTACTGTCCTGATATGTCTATGTATGTATGTATGTATGTATGTATGTATGTTCATATGTATATATATATATACACATTATGTATTCATTCATTCATTCATTTACCCATTCATTCATTTAACATATGTTTACCCAAGACCTAAACGTAAACTGTTGCTATAGAAGTAAGCAACTCAGAGAAGTTTGCTGCCATCAAGATGAGTGGATGAGTACATTATAGCGGAAACTGTTGGTTGTCTCCCTATCAACAATCCACTTTCTTGTCAATTTATATCAAAAAGCAGTATTTCACAATAGAAGCTGAAAACATTAAGATCGCCATTTGCATGGATACATGACTAAGTTTGGGAAGACTTCTCAAAAAAATTTCTCCTTTATAAAAATTATGACACTGAGGACAAGAGCCCCCCCTTCTTCTCTGACTTTGTACACAGTTGGATGAAGAGATCATGTAGACCTTTAGTCACTATCATGATACGATAAGCAATCAAAGCGTAGAACAAGTGAGTACATTGAGAATTGTGACATGGAAAGTGAGAAAAACAAACAAATATTGGGTTGTCAGAAAAGTCATGACGTATTTTGTCTATGTTTTTCAAAGGTCATTTATTTATATAAAGAACAAAGATCATTTAATGATATATTTCCCATTTTGTTCAATAACCTTTTGCCATCTTTCAGTGAGCTTCATAATTCCTCATTCATAGAAGGACCTGTCTTTATTTGCAAAAAACTGAACAAGGTGCTGACTTACAGCTTCCTCTGAGTTGAACGTTATACCACGCAAGGAGTTTTGAAGAAAGCGAAACAAGTAGAAGTCTGACGGCGCATGATAAGGTGAGTATGGTGGGTGTGGCACCACATCCCATCCAAGCTCCAATCATTTTTGAAGGGTGATCAAACCCATGTGGTCTTGCGTTGTCGCAATGGAACACATCTCCTTTACAATTAACAAGTTCTGGACGTTTCTGGATGATGGATTCATTCAAACTGTCCAATTGCCAACAGTACACATTCGAACTGATTGTTTGGTTCCTTGGTAGGAGCTCAAAAAACACGATACCTTTAAAATCCCACCACACTGAGAGCATAAGCTCTTTCTGATGAATGTCTGCTTTCAATGTCATTTGAGGTGAATCATTATGTTGGGACCAAGACTGCACACCACATTGTTGTAAACAATCCACTTCTCATCACCACTTATCAGTTGCTTCAAAAAAGGATCGTTTTCCTCACGTTTAATGAGTATATTGAAAATACTTATACGCTCTGTCAAATGAACTTCTTTGAGTTCACGCGGAACCCAAACATTGAGCTTTCTTACATATCACAGCTTCTTCAGGTAGTTGTGAACACTTGAATGATGAATGTTCAATATTTCTGCAATCTCTTGTGTCGTGTAACATGGGTTTGACTCGATCAATGCCTTTATTTTGTCATCATCAACTTTGGTGGGCCTCCCTGACCAAGGAGCGTCACTGAGATCAAAATCACCAGCACCAAATTTCATGAACCATCGTTGGCACTGACGTTCTTCTAGAGCATTGTGACCATAAACTTTACGCAACTTTTCACAAGCTTGACACAAGTTCTTCCCTTTATGGAAGTAAAACAGTAAAATATGGCAAAAATGTAGTTTAGTCTTCCATCTTCTACATGTAAAATCTCCAAAATTCAACCAAATTGCTCAATTTATTTTTAGAATGAAGTTACAACTGTCAGCTGTCAAATGACATAGCAATAACATAGATGCGAATGACTCTAGTACTTCCGAAAATGAACTAGCACCATCTCTTGCAAACATGTATCATGACTTTTCCAACGACCCAATAAATGAAAATCTCTGGGGACTCGTTGACATTGTTTAGCTCCTGAAGAAGCTATAAAATTGTCAACCTTTCAGACATCTTATTTTAGTTATTAAAAATCCTTCTGTTAAGCAGCCTTTTTGGGGAATAGAAACTGAAGACATCCTAATTTATGCAACTTCATGGTCTATTCATACACAATTCACCTGATTTCATATATAAGTGCTCCTCTTAAAGTGGCATGGAATAATGTCACTTATAAGACTTACAAATGATGTCTCGTTTCCAAGTCATAAAGATTTTCAACAAACCTCATTTTGTTAATTTCTGAAAACTGATGAATTACTAATCTATATTCAACAACTATCATATTACAGAGTAAATAAACCACTGAAGATTATTGAGTTTCCTCATTTTCTTCTTACTTTTCTCTCTAGAGCTCTTCAATTTGAGAAATGAAATTCAAACGATTTAAAAAGCCTCATATGATCTTCTATCTTTACATAAATCTGTCATACTAATACCTAAAATACCTAAAATACCTAAAGCTATAGGGAAATTGACTTGCTTTATTATATTTCTGATATTATTATTATTTATTTATTTTTATTGAGGAACAGTGTGTTTTTCCAGGACCCATCAGCTCCAAGTCAAGTAGTTGTTTCAATCTAGTTGTGGAGGGCACATCTCAGTGGCCCATGTGGGGATCAAACCAGCAACCTTTTGATGTTATGAGCACTGTGCTGTAACCAACTGAACTAACCAGTTGCCCCTATTTCTGATATTATTAAGTTAAACAAATTCACAGAGAATGAGACATTCCTTTGCAAAGAAAAGCATACACACTTTTTTTTTCCAATTTCAATTATTTATTATTATTGACTGCAAACAGTTAAGGTCAACCTGAATGTAAGAGTTAAGATACCCTGAGCTCAAGAGTCTCGGTATGAAAGATTAGACAGACAAATGCCTTTTGTTTCATACTTTTATCTTATTTATTTATTACAAAGAATGAGAAGAGTGCTGAGAAGCAGGGATCAGTAAGCATTAATAAGAATTAATTAACTGTTTCCCTGGTGCTCTGGGGAATGTCTTTTTATAAATGAGGTCAAAGAAATGGCAGGAAGCATATTTGTGAAAGAGCAAATGGTAAGATGTAGTGACTCATCATTAAGGAATGAGTATTTAATAAATATTGGTTGTCATAATAGGAACACCTTTCCATGACTCTTAACTAGAAGTGAAAGTGCCAAAGAAGAGGGATAAATCATTTCTTATTGTCTCCACTGGAAAACTGAAGGATTTTCCAACTGCCAAATAAAACAGGGAATTATCTCCCTTCACACCTGACATTTGTACATGGGGTGGAACATTGTGGTGAAATATTTTTAAAAAGCAATATTACATACAAAGTAATTTACACTTATTATTTATTAAAACAAATTATTATTCCTACTACTAAGAGCTTAATATCCCATGACGCTACTGCATTTGCCAATGCAGATGTACCACAAGCACCATGAAAGGCAACTGCCTCTTATTTCCCACGCTCAAGAGAGAAAATACCTGTATTAATTTCCTCTTGCTGCTATAACAAGCTACCATGGCTTTAAACAACACAGATTTATTCTGTTACAGTTTGGGAAGTCAGCAGTCCAAAATGAATTTTATGAGATTAAAATCAAAGTGTTGGCAGGGCTGGATCTTTCTGGAGGCTCTAGGGGGGAAATCCTTTACATTGTGCTTTGTCCCCCAGCTTCTGGGTTCACATGACTTTCCTCTTATTTAGCCCTCTTGTTTCGCTCTTATAAGGATGTGTGCTGTTATATTTGGAACGTACCTGGCTAATTTGGGATAATCTTCCCATCTCAAGATTCTTAATTGAATCTGCAAAGTCTCCTTTGCCATAAAAATTTAACATTACCAGGGTCCAGAGATTGCTAAGTGAATATGTGGGGGAGGGGGGTCATTATTCAGTCTATCACATCCATAGTTTGTGGTAGATGTCTAACTATGCATAGGTCTTGGCTGGATAGTCTTATAAAGAAAAGTGTCAATAACCAAAATCAATCAACAACGACTATGTATGAAGACTGAATAATAATGAGATTTACGTGGGATCACTGGAAGTAAAGAACGTACGTAGGTCACCAGTAGACTTCATCTCTGGAAACTTGCGCCATGTGTGTTCTCCTTAATATAAATATTCCAGAAGACAATATTCCTCAACGTTGAAATAAAGTAATTGAAGGTTACAGAGGGACTTCTAATACTTGGTAATGATGCCTGCCTTTGATTAAGAATGTACCCAGGAAACCACATCTGCATTTAATTCCATGAATTAAGTAGGCAAGAAAATGAAAGCATCTTAAATGCAGTCAAATCCATCTCTAATTCTCATTAAAGTCAGGAAATTGAGGCTGTCATATTTCAGGTAGTTTACTTTTTGAGCTAGCAAGTTGGACGGGGAAGGGAGAAAGGAGCTTACCTTAAATAATAAATCCTTCTTCCCATAACGAAGCTCCTTCAGCTGGGCCTGGATTTTTTTGGACTGCAAGAGCAGAAACATGGATGAGTGCCTTAATTTCATCTATATTTTCAAACTTGAAGATTAAAATTATTTCAGACTGCACACAAATGAATTTTGCCAAAGATTCCAACTAGTCTGGAAGAGAAACAGAAAGTCTTAATCTCCATTTTGGGAGGTGGACGTCCAGCTACTCTAGGCAGGAAGAGAAAACCAAAGCCTGTTCTAAGGAAGCATATTGTTCAAAAGGTAACATTTTTTTAAAAAGAGGTTTATTGTTCCTCCCCCAACCCCCAAAGTATTTTAGTCACCCAGGCATGGCCAATAATCCAATTTTAGATGCTAAATATTGTTCTGCAAGTGTATGCCTCAGTTTTCACTGCTCATTTCGACTATTCATTAAAGTGAGATTAAATATAGATAAGTTTAAATTGACAACAAAATTTAAATTTGACGTATGTCCAAGGAGAAGGCAGGTGACAAGCAAATGTGATGGGAGGCGAGAAACTAACTCACTGAGAGTGCTAAAACGCTGAGGTGAAGGCTATTTGTCATTTAGAAGGATGGATTTTTTTAAGAAGACTGTTACAAATGTAATAGTGCTTATCACAAAGAAATCTCTCTCAGCAGACAAGTTTGGCTACTGCATTGAAATATGTTCATGTATTCCCATTTTTTCAGAGCAGGCGCAATTTCAAACATTCTAATTTGAGAACTTTAGTCACCTGTCTTTCTGCATTTAAGATTATCAGCTCTGACTCCTCAGTAGAAGTAGGACACAAATATATTATCACATGAAAATAATGATAATTGAAACAATAGTTGAGTGGGGATGTAAAACAATAGAGTCACTTTGGGGAACAGTTTGGCAGTTTCATGTAAAGCTAAACATACACATACTGCATTATACAGCAAATCTTTCTAGGTATTCACCCAAGAGAAATTATAACATATACATAAATGTTTATAGTATCTATATTCATAGTAGCCAAATACCAGAAACAACTCACATGTTTATTAACTGGTGAGTGTAAACAAATTACAGTAAATCCATGAGATGGAATACTACTGTTGAACAATTTTTAAAAACTAACCAAATACTGAGACATGTAACAATATAGATGAATTTCAAACACATTATACTATGGGAAAGAATCCAGTCACTAGAAGCTAATTTTGTATAGTACCATTTATATGATATTCTAGAGAAAAAAAGAATAGAGACAGAAATCAGATTAGTAGTTGACATTGGCTGAGGGTTGGTCGTGGAGATTATAAAATAGCAAGAGGGAACTTTGGGGGTAATGTAATAGTTCTGTATCTTATCTATATGTTCTATATCTATATATATTGATCAAACCCATCAAACTGTATACTTGAATGGGATTACCTGTATGTAAATTATATGTCAATAAAATTCAATTTTGATGGTAGCTGGTCATAGTACATAAACACAATATACTCATGGTACTAAATATTATCTCCTGTTAAACTCTGTTCATGTAAAGTCCTGTCTAATAAATGAAGTCCACTTTTATTTTTGAAATTTTGTAATTTTCCAAGCATATATTGAATGTATATGTCTCCACTGAGCCAACTGCAAGTGTACTGTGATGCAGTTTCCTATTATATTCAGAATATTTCTAACCCCACAAGGTGGTAGAGTTTGTAAAGTGGGAGACTGTGTTATGATGGTGCTATAATTCTTAAATCATTATCCCGTGTTGGAAGCACCATCAATTAGAGTATAAAACTGAAAGTATAAATGACATACCACTGTAAGGTTCTAATATTAGAAACACAGTTTCTCACAGACATCCTGATCATGACCTAGCTGCAATTTGTGATCTATTGAATCAGGAAGCTGATAAGAGAAAAGAAAAAGAAAGCAAAATGAAAAGAAATGAGAAAAGGAGGAAAGAAGGAAGGAGATAAGTAGAGAGGGGAAGGGAGTAATGAGAGGGAGGGAAGAGGAAGAAGGGAGAGAGAGAGAGAAGGAGAGAAAGAGATAAAGAGAGAGAGAGAGAGAGTTTGACATATTAACAATTCAGGCTTATGCAATTAAACTCTATACCCAGAAGCAGCAAGAATTTGTTGTTTCTCACAAACTATATAGTTCCTATTTTCCCAGTGCCATAAAAAAGCACCCTGTTTTTCTTCATATAGTTAGTGAAAGTGAAATGCATGACATAACGCATAAGAAATCAGACTCATCGTTGTGTGAATATGGTTGGTACTGGCTCTTAGGAAGGAAAACACACTTGAGCCCTCAGCCCCTTGAGTTTGTATTCCTACTGCAGGACTGCACATTTACTACGATACTGCTGTTCCTCGCACAAAGATTTCCAAGTGACCCAAAATTATGATATTTCAAGCTCAGCATCTCTCTTTTTGTTGTATGAACTTCATCTCCAAGACGTTTCCTTCTTTTCATGACTATTCTTAATTTGGTGCTACTGATTTCAGCAAAGGATTACTTCTATTATCTTTTCCAACTTCAAATGCACTGTTGATTAGTATTTTTTCTCTGCTGTTGCAAGCTGATTTCCAGGACTCATTTATAGCCAGACAGTGTCTCAGAAAACACACTTTCTTTTTCTTTTTTCTTTTTTTTTTTTCTAAACTAATGTTGACCATGAGGAATGAGAGATTACTACTGCAGGTAACATGTGTGATTTGCCTAACTTCACTTCTATTATTCCACATAACCTATGCTCTTATCTTTTATGAGTCCAGAAAGAATTTATTTTAACCGTTTTGTGTGTTCATTTTTTAATGAATTTGGTACTTATACTGAATGTATAGAATATATTTTAAACTTTTCTTTATAACTTGAATTCATTACTAAAACATTAATTTTTGTATGATTATGTTAGAAGGAGAAATCACNCAGATATTTTTGAAAAGACGTATTTTTGCCTGGAGTGGTGTCAGAGTAAAGGAAAAGGAAAGCAAGAATTCCTCTTGAAAGAAAGGAAGAAAGGAAGGAAGGAAGGAAGGAAGGAAGGAAGGAAGGAAGGAAGGAAGGAAGGAAGAAAGAAAGAAAGAAAGAAAGAAAGAAAGAAAGAAAGAAAGAAAGAAAGAAAGAAAGAAAGAAAGAAAGAAAAAGAAAGTCCCGAAGCAGCTAAGAAATGTCTAGCACTAGGGCAAATCCTCAAAGTTACAATAACAAACAAGATACAGTCACCACCATCTAGGATTTTAGGATTTTACAATCTAACCCCTATGTGTGTAGAGAATGAGAGGAACCCTACAGCCTTGAGAAACATTAACACTGAAACAGTTTGTTTACCTATCAAACTTTACTAAGAACTTCCTATAAGCCAGTGGGTCTCAAAACGCGTTTTCTGGAACAGTAGCATTAGCATCACATAGGTGCTTATTAGAAATTTGAAAATAAAGAAAAAAAAAGAAGAAATTCTTAGGCCCTGAATTGATCCAAACTTACTCTATCAGAATCTCTGATGATAGGGGCCTGGCTATTGGCATTTAACAAGCCTTTCAGGTGGTTCTGTTTCTCTCTCAAGTTTGAGGAGCAGGGATGCCAAGCACATGTACACCTTGCCCCACATTTATACAAACAAAGTTTAACGGCATTCCATTTCTGGTTTCATACTCACAGCTCAATAAAAGTTCTTTAGTTCACATCACTTACACATAGTTAATGTTTGCTATTCCCACTCTTTCACCTTCACCAGCCCGCCTTGAGGGCTACTAAATAATACAAATTACCGGACTAACTCATGGCTACCTTCATATGCTTCTCTAGTGTGGTCTCTAAGTAGCCCTCTCAAATATGGTAAAAGCACACCCATAAATCTTTCTGGCTGCAGTACTCTGACAGGGCTATTTTTCACAATGAGGGGAATACAATTCAAACAGCCTTTAACATAAACTTTGCACTGTACACTCTTCATGAATAATAAATCAGCCTTTCAAAAAACCTTTCTCATATCTGCTTTCACAGGCATCCCCTTGGTATTTTGTAAGGGTCTTGAAACTCAGCATTGCCCCTGCAGTTATGGTTCCCTAGTTCATTAGGGTTTTGATGCCAAATGTAGAGTCAGCTAGTACTTTCCACTTAAGTCTCACAGCTTAGAGTGGGAGAAAGACTTTTTTCTAAGTTACTCTAACAATCTTAGCAGGATAAGTATCTTAATCATAGCGTCAATGGCTTATAGTCAGATGTAACAATTTATAAATTACTCATTAGNGCAAACACTTGCTAGAACCCATGGTCTTCTCCGTCATGCTCTATAGTTTTTACTAATTCTCCTTTGCTTAAATCAGAAAAAAGATGAAATAAAGTCCTAGATTCCTACTGAGTAATGCATGGACAGTAATCCAAATGCACGTAAATATGGAATTTGTCTTTGAGTTTTTAATTCCAGATACATGTATTTTTTGCCTGTCTATCCAGCCCCACCAGGCAATACAATAAATTTTGGATTATAAAATATATTTGTCCCTAGAGCAGGAACTAGGCAAAGTAACTCTTAGAAAACTATTAGAAAAGATTAGGTACTTCACTTGTAATTACTCCCGAAGTATGTCTCCTCCTGATCTGCCCAGTTAAGACTTGAACACCTGTTGCCCTCTCTTTGCAATTCTGGGAATTCCCAGTTCAGCGAAGCCATTTTATCCTGGGAACACAGCTGAATAACTACAGCAATTAAGGGGAAATCTCCCTCTTTTCTCAACTTTGTGGGAGAATTGCATTCTGTTTTTATTTTTTATTTTTCGGAGTTTTCATCAAAATGTATCTTACCCATTCCTCTGACCCAGGGAAAAAAAAAAGTGTTAGAACATATGTCCACTGCATAAAGCATATCAAAGCTATGTCATTGAAAGCTAAAGCCATTAACTTTAGAAATTGTTATGTTCAGTCTTTGCTAGTCAGTCATCATTGTGTATGTGATGACGAAAGGCCATCAATGCTTGCTTATAAGAGAAAATTTGGACCTAGTTGATCATTTATGATTCAGTGAAAGCTTGCCAAATATTGGCTGTTGTGAGCAATTTCTGTTTAAAGTAGTAGTGATGAGGATCTGATGCTGTAGTTCAAGCCAGGCAATAAAGTTTAACTGTTATAAATTTCAAAGGAAGATGATTTATTTAATACTTGGAGTTTCTTTTTTATTCCGTGGATCACAGGAAAATTCCCATGCAAAATGGCAGGAAGAAGAATAGGTTTACCATTTGCTTTTGGGCTCCAAGCTTACAAAACTTAGCCTTATTGATGGTTTTATACAATAAATTGATTGAGGAATTGATAGAAGATTTCGTTAGTGTAAATCGAACTCCACTAATAAGGGGTGTGTCTTGTTAAAGAAGAAAAGGGACCAAGTTTTCTTCATATGCTCCTAGGCTGAATTTGGTATATAATACNACATTTATGCCATATATTCAAATATCATTGAGAAAGAAGCATAAACTAAAATTTACAGAGTGCAGGGTTCTATAAAATATGGAGTTTACTGGTTGATTTCAAAAATCCACATGTGCTTCTACTGCGTCCATATGCTTAAATTACTCTTTATTTTGCTGAGTATAAAATGGGAGATCAAAATGCAGGAAGAGAGGGCTATTGAAGAATTGATAGGTAATTACCATTTTAAATATGCTTTTTAATCCTCCAAAATGCTTTAATCTCCACAAATGTTTTAATAGTCGCACTGCTGGGCTACTGCAGCCAGGGCAGGGAACACAGTGTTTAGTTTAGGGAGTACAGCTGCGACTGCAGTCAACAGAGCAAGCAAATACAGAGTGAGCTCATTCCAGATGGAGATAAGTACCCATAATTAGTAGCAAACATTGTATAAAGCACATTAGAGGGAACAAACCTCCTTCAGAATGCTACTGAATTAGACTAGCACTGGTATAGAAGATGAATTTTCAGGAATTATTAAGACTGAGAAAAATCTGCCAATGATAGTAATTACTTTAAGAAATAGCCCAGTGCAGAGTGATGTGGGGAAAGGTAGTGTCTGGACATATAAAAGGGACTCAGAAGAACTTGGACATTTATTATAATATGGAGGAAGAAGGTGGAGAAAGGGGAAGAGGGGACCCAGGCTAAGAAGAGTGGGGGAGAGGAGGAGGGGGGAGGGGAAAGAGGGAGACAGGGCAGGAGAACCAGAGGAGACCAGAATCAAATGTAGTAACTAATGGAACGTCCACGTTTCCATCACTCCCTTAGTAAGGTCAGATAACGAATGGAAACATAATTGGAGAAGGATCATTATAGTTTGGGAAGATGACTTCCTCATGTAACACCATGGCACATTGCACATAAAGCTCATCCCGAGCTGTGAGTCAATCATTCTCAAAGAAATGTTCATATAGACTTTATAAAGTTCTGAATTAAAGAATTTCTCCAGGTGCTATTAAACAATAATTAATGTGGATTTTAAGGAACACTGGCTGCATGGAATGGTAATAGTGGTAACATCACAGACAACTCTGGGATTAAATAAGCTTGAGAAACATTGCATTTTGCTGAAGGACAACTCAGAACCTGATTTAAAGACAGCCTGGCGAATCTTCCAGGCAGATTGGAGGTACAGTACTCCTCGTGGAACTCAGGCTCCCTTGAAAAGCTTTTCTGGCAATTAAAATCAAGCGTGAAGTTCCTCAATGGGATAAACTCAGGTTGACAGCACAACTCATAGAATAGATCATCTCTGAAATCAAGTCCACATAATGACTGGTGGAAGGTAGCAGATTGATAGGAGAGATGACAAAATTGCAAGGNGCTTAGCTGTATGGAAACCAGGGGAACTAAGGAGCATATATATGGCCTTTTTATTTATTCTAAGCCACATGGGAAGAAAAAAGTAGAATTTCAAAATGGAGGGAGATAAATTGTGTATGAAATAGCTTCAAATTGATAATGGAGAAAAAGGCTGAAGGGAATCAGCCACCTATCTGTGTCATAATATAAATGCAGAGCTATAAACAACTGAAATAACTTGAGTCAAAAAAAGGCTTAAAGAAGCTCTTTGGAATAAAAGGAAAATATAATACAAGTAGCAATAAGATTTAGTTAAAACCAAATATTTTCATTATTTTTTTTCAATCTATCCCCTTGTTTAAATATAATGTTATTATTTAATCTATATGTAGACTAATTGCTACTGCAATAAAGATTTATATTTTTACAGAAAGACTTAAAATTGAATAGACATGAGGGACAGGATCATTCTATAAATATTTAAATAAAGCTACCAAACAGCTATGCAATCATCCAAGTGATAGCAGATACCCTCATTGAGTGTTGGGCTTGCCAACTTGAATTCTAAATTGGTTGCAGGTGTAACAAAAGTTTTACAAGTGCTCAAAGATTTCCTCACTGACGTTATCTCAGGAAGAGGATGGGATATTGAACTTAGCTCTAATTCATTAGAAAAGTTGATTGCTTCATGGGAGTTTCATTCTTAGCTTAGCACCAAACTACCTACAATATCTACTGCAAATTATTTAACCCCTAGACACTCAGTGTCAACATATGTGAAATAATGGAGAACACCTAGGTCATCTCTCAGATTTCTTGCACCTTCAGGACTATTGTCCCAACATTGATAAGGCACATAAGGGCTATGCGATGATGACTTTTTCTCATGTCAGTTAAGATATCATTGCAATACATTTCCATTCACTGACGAAATTAGTTAGATACTCTGTGTGCTGCTTAGCCTCATCTCATACCTACAAGATCACTTTTCAAATAGTATGGAAATAATACAGCCCAGTGGATGGGTTCTTGGGACANAAAAAAAAACAACTTAAAAGCAACCAAGGTATTCTTCAGTAGGCAAATGTATGAATAAACTGTGGTACATCCAGACAATGGAACACTATTCAGTGCTAAAAAGAAATGCTGTATCAAGCCATGAAAAGATATGTGGTAAACTTCAATGCACATTACCAAGTATAAAAAGTTACTCTGAAAAGGCTACATACAGTAAGATTCCAACTATATGACATGCTAAAAAAAGGTAAAATTATGGAGACGGTAAAAAGATCATTGTTTGCTAGGTCTTTGAGATGAGGAGAGCTAAATAGGCAGATCAAGAGCATTTTTAGAGCAGTGAAACTCTTCTCTATGAGACTATACTGGTGGATGTATGGTATACATTTGTCAAAGCTTATAGAGTGTACAACACCATGAATAAACTCTAATGTAAGGTATGGACTTTGGGTGATAAGGATGTATCAAAGTTGGTTCATTGATTGTAACAAACGTACCGTTCTTGTGTGGGATGTTGATAATGGAGGAGGCTGCGGGGGTGTGGGAATATAGGGTACATGAGTATCTGTACTTTCCACTCAATTTTGCCGTGAACCTAAAAGTACTCTAAAATATAAAATCTATTAAAATAAACAAACAAACCTATTCAACTTTACTGAAAACAAAAGAATATATACCCTTAGAGTCTACAAAACAATAGGCTGAAATAATTGGTATAGTCACCATTTAATCAAGTACATTGGGTTTCCCACATAAAATACATATTTTTTGAAAAATAATATTAGTATGATTACATAAAGAGATAGACATTAATAATATTTTTTAAACTTTGCAATGAAACTACCATAATTTTCATAGTAGCCTGATGCTATTTAGTGCTCTATGAAAATTCCTAAAGTAGCAGATGAATAGTTAAGTACTTAAGATCTATTGGAATAACTGACTGTATAACAGAGAGCACAAATTAAATTATAAATATCTTTTTGGCGTCTGCTAAAATTACACAAAAATAATAAATAAGCACACTGAGAAAAGAGGGTATAATAAATGATTAAATTGGCATATTTTTACAAATGAACATATTGCAAATAAGTGAAATTTATATAATTGATTGTATTTATCTTTAGTTTTTATAAACTTTTCATAAACTGATCACTGAAATTATATAGTATATAGTATATAGTATATAGTATATGTTACATATAATATATTATATATTATCTTTATTATATATTATAATATATAAATTACATATTATAANATTATTTCTATCCAATTGAAGCTAGAAGAAGAGAAAATTGACTCACCTCTTCTGCACGGATGCCACACAGCTTGTTTCCAGACAAGAGTTTGTTTTTCAAGCTTTTATTCTGAGGAAAGAAACATAGTTTTATTGCCAGAAGTGATAAAATAGTACGGATTTCCTTAAATATGTCAGCAGCATTGCATTTCTCTGTATTTTATCCATGAGTCAGTTCTTTATGAGATACAATGACTTTATATAAACTGAGTAGAACCTGTAATGCAAAAGAATGTTTCTTTTATTCAATTAAAATTTTGATGTATTAGCATTAACACATTCATTAAAAAATATGGGACTTTATTTGGCCTTACATTTAACTTCTGTTTTGTATTTACATATGCTATTTTAAAAAATAAGTTTCAATCCTACAATTGATACTAATTTGTGAAATCACCCCTCTACACAGCAAGCATTTATTTCTACCCTCACCTGGATGCTGGTCACCTTGGAGCCCTGATATAATCTAGCCATAGACCCATCAGGGTCTGCATTCCCTTTAAAGGCTATAGTTTCGGAGTCCTCTTACATTCCCAATGCCTGCACATTGCTCTCAAAGGGCTTGCTGATGTTCAGAAGCTATTTCTTTCTCCAGGCTTCATACATGCGCTCTCTCTGCTAGGTCTGAGTAGACAGATCTGTTAACCTTTGAACTTCTCATATACTTACCTAGATTCTTAGACAAATGTTTGTTACTCTGACATGGAAGCCACATATTCCTAGCCATCTGAATCTAAACCCTTATAGCTATTCAATTATATCTGTCTTATTACACTCAGGCTTTTCTGTCTTGGCCTCAGTAACAGAGTACTGAAACTCCTTTTAGAAAGGCAGGCTTAAAGGAGAGCAGGAAACTGTGAAACTCACAGGATGTAGACTTTGTACTGTCTCTACAGAAACGGTGTAACGGTAAGGTGTACCTCTTACATAATGACTCTAAAGACAGTCAATTTGATGAGTGCCATGAGCAAACTGAACAAAATTTACGCAGAGTGACTGGATAACTGGATGAATGAATACATCAAATTTAACAGTTCTTCACTCACAATTCTCACCTGATTTTGAACATTTCCTTTTTTATTTTTCTGTCATGAAAAGAGGAGGCACAACTTCCCTCCGTTTGAAACAACCCTTTGCTTTTTTTCCTTTTTAGCTAAGAGCTGAAATTCTAAAAAGCTCATTTAGAATTCAATATCATAAAATGTTTCACACATATGAAGACTTACCTTAATTCACTCAAGTAATGTCTTTTTTAAAATATTAGTATGCATCATACAAGATTAGGGTTTCCAAAGAGATTTTAATAGTATGCATTATTTCAATATTTAAAAGCTTCTAACTACAATAACAGAAATACATATTGTTTTTAATTCAGTGTTGCTCAGAATGTAGGTTAAAAAATCCCCTAGTGGGCTGGTCGAGTGGCTCAGTTGGTTAAGAACTCACTCAAGAGTGCGAGCTCTGAGCAACAGAGGTTTGAGTCCCTTGCCTGAGCCGAGCTATGGCTGAGCGGCCAAAAGGTGGCAGGATGGCTCAACTAAAAAAAAAAAAGAAGAAGAAGAAGAAAAAAATCCCCTAGTTTTCCTTCTGTTCATATCTATTTATACATTTTTGACATACACAATCTTAAATTTTTTTCCTAATGAAATGGTCCATTTTATCCCTTTTTTATTTTTCCTATTGTTTTTGAGCAGAGAGATGTCATCCCTATCTCTACAGATTTGATATTCACTGAGATTTTTATCTTTTTTATGGTTACCATATTTTAGTGGAAAGATTGGTGACATTCAAATAAGGTTTATATTTTGCTTAATAGCATTGCATTAATGTTAATTTATTGGTTCAATAATTGCACTAGCACTCTGTATGATGTTAATTAAAAGTTTTGGGTAAAGGTTTATGAGGCTATTCTATATTAATCTGCCATGCTCTTTTCCACATCAAAAATTATTGCAAAATAAAGTTAAAATACCTAAAAAATAAAATAAAATAAATAAGTAAAAATTGAGTGACATATTTCTGGTATGAATATTTATATGCCAACACGAAGTATTCAAACTTGAGTAACTTTATTAGAAATGGTAATGAAGTTAATATATTTAAAACCTGGTGCATATAGTCTATACTACTTGAAATTTGCATCTTCACTTAAAACTTTTCTTCTGCTTTTCTTGCCTTTTGTTCATTTTGTTCAATTCTAAGGTGAGCGATGAAGCAGTGATGAAAACATTATTTCACTGGAAATGTTTAATACGGACTTGGACAATGCACTTGGATTGGCACTGGGAAGGCTGCTACTCCTCACTGTGGATATCTTTACAGCCACCCAAAAATGAGCAGTGATCATATTGTGTGTCCTCAGTCTGCTCTGGTAGTTGTTAATTCTGGGCAGCTCTGTAAAGCAATATGTTTCCATTAAGTTAAATGTCATTTCCAGAGTATAAGAATTGCAGTATTTCACTATTTTGAAATATATCCAGATTTGGGGATAATTAATTATAATCACCCACAATGGGGCCAAGTGTGGGACACAAGGCCAATATTGAGATTGATCTTATATGGCATACTCTTCAGAAGTGTGAATGGCACAGAGCACCAAAAAGGGAATACTGGTTCCCAGAAAATTCACTGAGTTAACCTTTCCACTCATGCTTCATGACCACACTACCGCTTTTATTCCAGAAAAAAATTATGGCTTGATATCATGTAGGTGTTAAGATCATAGTTTTTCAGTTCTGTGATCAGACATGTCATTTCATCCACCTTATAAATAACAGATCTCATTCATGTCAGACCTAATGATGCTTTTATAATAGTGAAGACAACAACTTACACAGGCATTTATACCCAAAATGCCAGGATCCAATTATGATTATGCCTCACTTGAGGAGATATAATGAAAAGTAGATTAAAAGAGTTATCAAATGTTTAAATGTCCATTCTTTCTGCCTATGAGACCTCTACTATTCCTTATTCTAATATCCATAATCTGATTTTTCTTATGAGAAATATTTCCATGCTAATTTGTGCGATGCTAACTCTACCCACTGAATCAAGGAAAAGGATAAAACGCCAGCCCAGCCAATCAGAACATGAGTCCAGATTTGTTAAAGCAACAAATCATCACTGATGAGATGCAAACATAAATCTTTTATTTTCAAGAATTATTGGGGAAAAGATGCTGAGGTTTATCACTAAGTCAGNTTCTGAATTAAAGAATTTCTCCAGGTGCTATTAAACAATAATTAATGTGGATTTTAAGGAACACTGGCTGCATGGAATGGTAATAGTGGTAACATCACAGACAACTCTGGGATTAAATAAGCTTGAGAAACATTGCATTTTGCTGAAGGACAACTCAGAACCTGATTTAAAGACAGCCTGGCGAATCTTCCAGGCAGATTGGAGGTACAGTACTCCTCGTGGAACTCAGGCTCCCTTGAAAAGCTTTTCTGGCAATTAAAATCAAGCGTGAAGTTCCTCAATGGGATAAACTCAGGTTGACAGCACAACTCATAGAATAGATCATCTCTGAAATCAAGTCCACATAATGACTGGTGGAAGGTAGCAGATTGATAAGAGAGATGACAAAATTTCGAGGGGCCTAATTATAGCCAGATACAAAAGAACATTATATTAATGATTTAAGGTCATTAATTGACTATTTCCATAGAGGAAATTGTGGTTGACAACCTCACTAGTAATGAACATAATTCAAATTCACTAGGGATAACATTTTTAATGTATCACATTTGTTTAAAACTTTCAATAGAATATGAAGCACATGGTAAGAGAAGGAAAGTGAAAGTATAATGAAAGGGTATTTATAAATTCTACTAAAGAGATGATAAATTTGTAGAACCCTATTGAGAAATAACTTTAGAATATATTTAACTATCTTAAGATTCGTATTACACTGTAACCCAGTATTATTATTTCTTAAGAATAAATCTAAAAATTGTATAGGGGAAAAAGAAGCACCAGGCAGAAAGTTATTCATCATCCAATATTTTATAATGATATAAAATATGGAAATAACCTAAATGTTTTCCAGAAGAGATGACTAAGTAAATAAACATTCGTCTCATGGCCAATTGGTCTTCTCATTGTCTCTCTTACATTTAGATTGTAATTTGGGACATAGGAAGAGATCAACAGCGATTGGATTTCTTAGCAATTAAATGATCAGGATAAAGACTCTAATCAAATGCATCCTTGTTTTCAGTAAAAAATTTTAACCAAGAGCAATCTCCTTAAGCCTTTTGTACTGTGATAGATTGAAATAGACCAAATTTCTTGGGTAATTCTTGAGTGAGCAGCAGCAAAAGCAAAGGGAATTTAAGATACGTTGTGGGGATTTATTACAAATTTCTTCACTTGAGTCCTTACTCCACAAACGGAATTGTACATTTAAGAGACAGGTTTCTTGATTTAAATGAATAGAAACAGATGCTTGCCAGGGGCTCATGGGAACTCAAGAGGCTGAGCAGAGAAACAATAGCGTTAGAAACAATAGATTACACTGTAGTTACTATTAATGGAACCTCCAAAATATTCTCTCAGCAAGAGAAGGAGTCAGCAAGACTACAACCAATGGAAAATGTCTCCAGATAGGAGAATAAGATGCTAATAGGAAAGGGGGATAGATTAGATATTCTAAAGTGAAAAATTAACAAAGTTTACTACAATGACCTTCAGGGATGCTTTGTACTCCAGGTCAATCACAAAACCATGAAATATTCTACTCACAAGATCATGTGCTTTATAACAAAAACATAAGCTCTCCTCCTCTTTTTAGGGGATCCCTGGTCACTCCCACCCCAGATTAGTATCTATTGAATCATGCTTATATGACTTTCCAGATAATTCTGTTTAGGCTTTTCTCACCTATCAGGTCTTACCTGCTTGTACTTAATTGTCACTTCGTTTACCATTTATATTATATCTGTTTTTCACTTAGCTGTCTCACTGGGAATGACAGTCATTGAGTCTGGAGTGTTTGTCCTTTGAAAGTAGACACAATTCTCTCATTTTCCTTCTCTAACAGACTAGAAATTTCTCCATATTATT